ACCAAATTACAATGAACGTTATTGCTTTCATTTAAACTAGCTTTGAACTTTTATTTCTTGAACACAGTTTATGTATTATGTTGCCTGGCCTAACGTGATATTTACTAACAATAATCATTAAACCAAAAGGTGGGTCTGTTCTTAGATTAACCGAGTGCATCGAAATGTGCATGGTTTTATTTATGTACGTCAATTGGGTAGTGCAAACATAATATTATATTAACTTATGAAATATGAATTAGTGTCACTATCATTCTTAATATCCATTCAAAGAACCCATCCCCAATGATGAATGGAAGCAGACGATCGATGTGTTTGCCAGTCGCAACTTTTCGGTCCTTTCCGTCAATCTACGAGGTGTTCCGATTGTTTCTAAACCTTATTATCCTATTTATAAGTGAGCACCAAAGTCCAACTTGGGTCTTTAATATACATGTTCATAGTGTGATAAAAAAATGTGTATAAAAAAATAATGTATAAAAAAAGTGACAAAAGTATTTTATATAACTTTTATAACTCACTTATTTCTCTATCCTTTTTATATAACACCATTTCTCGCTTGCGCATGCCCAAAATAATGTAAAATATACAAAATTTGAGCCTTCAACTTGTATAAACTTAATATCATGTTATTACAAAAGCATTGGATTTTCTTTACATGTACTTTTTGTACGCCCGTTTAAAAAAAAGATAGAAATATGAAGATGTGTATAGGGACGATTTAATCATCATTTATTGAGGGATTGTAACACAAATGGTCATTATAATGACTACGGCTGTGACACATGTACTTTAGGTCAATATATGCAAGGTCAAGGTCACTAAAGATGGTGAAATATCCAGATTTTGTCCGGAGCATATCTCCTACATGTATGGAGGGATTTTAATGAAACTTCATATAAATGTTCACCACTATGAGGAGCAGTGTCGCGCACATGAACCAGGTCTCTAGGTCAAAGGTCAAGGTCACACTTAGAGCTCATTGAAAAATGCTTGTCCGGAGCAAAACTTCCACATGTATAGAGGGATTTCAATATTACTTGGCACAAATGTTCACCATTGTGAGGCGGAGTGTCGCGTGCAAGATTCAGGTCCTTGCGGCCAAGGTCAAGGTCACACATAGAGGTCAAAGTTCAGATAAAAATATGAAGATGTGTATATGGACCATTTAGTCATCATTTATTGAGGGATTGTAACACAAATGGTCATTATCAAGACTATGGCTGTGATACATATAATTTAGGTCAATATATACAAGGTCAAGGTCACTAAAGATGATGAAATATCCGGATTTTGTAAATAGAATTTAATCAAAGGGAGACAACAAAGTTATTACTTTGTTCATAAATGACTTACACAATTACTCCCCTTGATCTATTTTCACTTTCAATTCTAAAAATAGAATTTAATCAAAGGGCATGAAATAATCCTCTTTCTTGGACTTGAGTATGTTCTAAAGAATGTAACATTTATTTACACATGTTTCATTCATTGGTCAAGATTCTTAACTGTGATAACTATGGTGTTCTGTAGACTTGGTATTTGTTCATAAAGATCATACAGTAATTACCTTATCAAATGTAAATACTTTCTCATAGAAATTTAATTATATTTTAATTTTCAAGTAAATATCAGTTCAGCTCATTCAAAGATTAAGAATTGTAATGAAATGTATTTCCCTAGAATAAAATCTTAAATCAGAATTTTTTAGTTATTAAATTACATGTACTTTTTGTACGCCCGTTTAAAAAAAAAGATAAAAATATGAAGATGTGTATAGGGACGATTTAATCATCATTTATTGAGGGATTGTAACACAAATGGTCATTATAATGACTACGGCTGTGACACATGTACTTTAGGTCAATATATGCAAGGTCAAGGTCACTAAAGATGGTGAAATATCCAGATTTTGTCCGGAGCATATCTCCTACATGTATGGAAGAATTTTTATAATACTTTATGGAAATGTTCACCACCATGATATGTATTGCTCCATGCATGATCCAGGTCTCCAGGTCAAAGGTCAAGGTCACGCTTAGAGCTCATTGAAAAACGCTTGTCCGGAGCAAAACTTCTACATTCATAGGGGGTTTTCAATATAACTTGGCACAAATGTTCACCATTGTGAGGCTGAGTGTTGCATGCAAAATTCAGATCCCTGCGACCAAAGTCAAGGTTACACATAGAGGTCAAAGTTCAGATAAAAATTTGAAGATGGTTATAGGGACCATTTAGTCATCATTTATTGATGGATTGTAGCACAAATGGTAACTATCATGACTACAGGTGTTACACATTTAATTTAGGTTAATATTTGCAAGGTCAAGGTCACTGGAGATGATTAAATATCCAGATGTTGTCCGGAGCATATTTTCTACATGCATGGAGGAATTTTAATGTTACTTTTATAGAATTGTTCACCACCATGAGACGTAGTGCCCTGCACATAAACCAAGTCTCTAGGTCAAAGGTGAAGGTCACAGTTAGAGCTCATAGAAAAACACTTGTCTGGAGCAAAACTTCTACATGCATAGAGGGATTTCAATATAATTTGGCACAAATGTTCATCATTATGAGGCTGAGTGCCGTGCATAAAATTCAGGTCCCTGCGACCAAGGTCAAGGTCACACATTCTGTGCATATCTTCCCTATTGATTTGTTTTAAGGTTCATTTAACAACACAGTGCCAAGAATAAAAACTTGCTTGCTAGATAACACTTATCCATAATGCCCCCATCTCCATCTAAAGCTTTTTCGTAAACGGGCGTATTTTGTGACTATGGCACCCTTGTTTAAAACTTTGAAACGCTATTTTCTAAAAGGAAATTTTTGTTATGCTTTCATGGCGTATATACTATATTTAGTATCGACTAAGGCCTATATTTGCACGCGAAACCTTAACCGTTCTCACAACTGAAATTTTCACAGGACAGTTTCAATACTGAAAAGGATGAAATTAAATTATTACCACGAGCAAGAGAGAGGCTCTAGGCCATTAAAGGGAATAGTTTTAAATGAAGCATTTTAATATTCTATGTACTTTTTTCCCACTGCCCTTGACTTCACGCAGAGAGATTAATATTTGGTTAATAAATGGACATGAAATGATGGATAGTACATGAATTGTTATTTGAGATGGCTTCACACTGTCTATTTACCTTTCATATACTATATGGAAACCTTGACATCGTGGATATCAATCAAATCACTCATTCACGCCGAACATAAATATTGACCAGCAGTTTAATTCAGCGAAAAATATCACGAACCTCACTTTCATATGTTGATATACTTATTATACTTATCAAAGACATGTAACATTGCATACAAATGTTTGAATACGAGTATACGTAAGTTTTTTAGGTAGACATCTGTTATTGAATATTGATAATCTATATTAGTGTAAGTATTCACGGGATATCAAGTAGATAGTGTATATGTATATGAGTGTTTGTGTTAAGGTTGCAAACGTACTATAATGTCTTGAGAAGCCAGCTTTTTTCGTCATATTCGGCCACTTTCCGTTTTACCGAAGCATTTTCTGGTATTTTTTGCCACTTTCATTGTCTTTACTAATACCATAAAGCGGCTACGTAACCAGAGTGTTGAAATTCAGACTACAAGCATTAACTTACTGAAACGCCTGTCATATTTTTATATGGAAAGTGACATTTAGTTAACTTATTTTATTCAATCAATTGTACTTGCCTTGCTTAAATGCAGTTTATGTTATCTTTTTACCTAGAACCAAGGCGACAACATGATGAATGATAATGTTTCGAAATTCAAGGTTCTTTCCATAATCTAGACCAGGATACCATATTGTGATGTTGATATTAGATTTTGGCTGGAAATATTAATGCTATTACAGAATGTTATACATATTTACAAAATATGAGTTTAACAGACTACCGAGTTCATGTTTCGTAGTTAACTGCGCCACTGGCTCATATAGTGGTTAAGAACTGTGTCTGACGCTGAACCCAAGTTTAACTCGGATCACGATTGAGCGGACTAAACTTGCACTAAAATGATGGAACCAGCATAAACCTGTTTCACAGAACTTTAATAGAGCGTTTAGTGCTGACGATGGATTACAAAAATGCGACTGCAGTTGTTTGTCTATTTGAAAAGAATCGTAGGAAATTAGTTGACTATCCCTGGTAATAAGTGAGAGGTCTAGCAGATCTGATATTAATCACGATCAAAAAATTACGTGACTGAATCAACGTCTAGACTTCGTAGAAAAATAATGTAGACTGTTTTGTGAGTGTTGAAACTCCTGCTTGAATTACGTGACTGAATCAACGTCTAGACTTCGTAGAAAACAAAATTAAATACAGAAAAGCATCCCCCAATTATCGATTTATAGGTTTTTCAAGGATAGGTCATAATGAAATTTTGCGTAAAATACTTGTTAAATGGGAGGTAACTCGAATATCATGTTTAGTATAAAACTATAAAAGTTTCCTCCCTTTACCTGCTGTTTCAGTGTAGTCTGAATTTGACATAGTTGATCAAACGGATAAACGTATTTGTTTACATCTGTTTTGTATAATAATCTAAAAAGTTATTTGCGCATTGTTTTCAGAACATTTATGTATTTCTTGTGCTACTGTGCATATTTGTGTATTTAAGGATATGTTTGTATTTTGGTATACCTTTGTATATAAATTGTGTATATTTAGCATAAATTTGTGTATGTCTTATGAGGATATATTTGTATATATGAGCCGCGTCACGACAAAACCAACATAATGGATGCGCAGGCTGGTTTGGATCCATGCTGGTCGCAAACACACTATGTTGGTTTTGTCGTGACGCGGCTCATAGGATATATTTGAGGATATATGAGGATTTATTTGTATATTCTAGCATTTATCTGTATATGTTTTAGGGTATATTTGTATATTTCAGGATATATTTGTTTAAGGATATATTTGTATATGTTAAAGGATATATTTGCATATGTTTAAGGATATTTTTGTATATTTCAGGAGAGGGAAGCTAAGATGACAACCTGGCTGTTTTTCAGCATTACTGTTTGTGTGTTTGGGAATTCTTTCTTATATGGTTACAACATTGGAGTGGTAAATTCCCCGGCCAGTGTACGTATCTTATGAGTGAATGTTTTTTTATCCTACCATTTAAAAATTATGACTTTGCCCACGTCCAGTCTTCATAAACAACTTATTCTTTTTTAAACGTTTATACCTTGGTCTGCATGGTTTGATGATAAAACCCGGTCTTTCTTCTAGTAGGACAGTAACGGTCTTACTTCTAGTCAAGATAACGGTCTTACTTCTAGTAGGACAGTAACGGTCTTACTTCTAGTCAAGATAACGGTCATACTTCTTGTCAAAATAATGGTCTTACTTCTTGTCAAAATAATGGTCTTACTTCTAGTAGGACAGTAACTGTCTTACTTCTAGTAGGACATTAACGGTCTTACTTCTAGTCAAGATAACGGTAATACTTCTAGTAGGACAGTAACGGTCTTACTTCTAGTCAAGATAACGGTAATACTTCTAGTAGGACAGTTACGGTCTTACTTCTAGTCAAGATAACGGTAATACTTCTAGTAGGACAGTCACGGTCTTACTTCTAGTCAAGATAACGGTAATACTTCTAGTATGACAGTTACGGTCTTACTTCTAGTCAAGATAACGGTAATACTTTTAGTAGGACAGTAACGGTCTTACTTCTAGTAGGACAGTAAAGGTCTTACTTCTAGTCAAGATAACGGTAATACTTCTAGTAGGACAGTAACGGTCTTACTTCTAGTCAAGATAACGGTAATACTTCTAGTAGGACAGTTACGGTCTTACTTCTAGTCAAGATAACGGTAATACTTCTAGTAGGACAGTCACGGTCTTACTTCTAGTCAAGATAACGGTAATACTTCTAGTAGGACAGTCACGGTCTTACTTCTAGTCAAGATAACGGTAATACTTCTAGTAGGACAGTAACGGTCTTACTTCTAGTCAAGATAACGGTAATACTTCTAGTAGGACAGTAACGGTCTTACTTCTAGTCAAGATAACGGTAATACTTATTGTCAAAATAATGGTCTTACTTCTAGTAGGACAGTAAAGGTCTTACTTCTAGTAAAGAAAGTGGTCAAACTTGCAAAATATGGAAATTATAGACTGTACCATAGTAAAAAGGTTATTGCAAAATCATTAAATACAAAATGTTAATAAGTTGATGATACCAAAGTATAAACATATTTTAATTTAAATTTCAACTTGTTTATAAAACAAAAGTTTATACACATTTTCTTTAAATTTCAGCTTATAAAAGCGTTTTACTTCAAAGTATACTTGGCACGTGATGGTATTGAAACCGATTATTATGTAGATGATAAAAGTCTACATTACTTATCACTACCTAATCAAACAACAACAATAGCTACTGTTGTTAACAACAGTTCTCTGGGACTAAATTACACAGTCAACAGTAACGGTACAACAGTTGCGCCGACAACAACCGTACATCCGTTGTTAGCCAAGAGCGCTGACGGTAAGTGTGACGTATTAATGACGTCAACATCCCCTTAGGACCACTTATTTAAATTTGAAAGTTTTAAACAAGTAAAGTGTCATGGTTGAATTGTTCATTCTGTCCTTTTAAATAAAAAATATGCAATCTGTGTGAGAAAGCAATCTAGATAATGAAAGATCACTGTTTTATAAATGGTATCCCTTTGTGATTTAAAACATGGAAAGCTGCCTTTCCAGTTGAAACAGATCTTTTTAGTTATATGTAAACTTGCGAAGGCTGCCTTATTTATCTTTAATTTATCTCCTTAATGCATAATATGAACACATTTTCTGTTATATATTAATTTGTAGTAAATCTATAATGTTGGACTATATATATCCATGTTGTATGCAAGTCTTAAAATTCTCGGGATTCTTTTGTAAACTGTCGCTGCTTCTGTTGCTATTTTAGCTTTTTGTTTATTATCTACGGAAAACGATTCTATCTTTTTTCCAGAAATTAAAGATGACAACTTTATTGAGTTGATGTGGTCTATAACAGTAGCTTTGTTTGTCTTCTTCGGTATGGTGGGTGCTTTTTCCTCGGGACGAATTGCCGATTATTTCGGACGGTAAGACATTCGAATGGCACAGTTAGATTTGAAGTATCAATGAATAAAAAAAACAATAATTGTTGAAGAATGTACGGATTTAGATAATGAAGTCAACAAACTTAAAAGAGTTCAAGGGTTCAGAAAATCACTAGTAAGAATTGTGCGTAATAGTTCAAGTAGACTCATAAGCGTTTTCATTTCAAATGATGAATTTGAGAATTACCTGTAATTTCTGTGGTAAAGTTTTACTTTTAAGGGATTAAGATATTAAAATACATAAACATTCATTCAGACTGGCCTGGCTCTATTTTGGGACCAACAGCTAATCACTTTTATGAGGTTAAGTGTAAAATTTCTATAATTCACTTGTCCTTATTCATTATGGACTACTCAGTAATTAATTGTAAATTAAAAGAATTTCTCCAGCTAGAATTAATCAGTTGACCGCAGTCACAGTGTATAGCATGGACACGTTACTTTAATGGTGCCATGTTTCCTTACTAACACCATTATTTGTATTTACAGAAAGAAGGGGATGATAATAATCACAGTTTTAATGTTTGTTGCGTCCATTTTTGGGGCAATAACATCCGTCGCCAATTCTCCAGAATGTCTGATGGTCTCCCGTGTCTTTGTTGGACTCCATAATGGTAAGTTTATTGTTTATAGCTTGTTAGATCATTATTACTTCCCTTTGTAATTTCCTCACTTTGTATTTGCTGTTATGTGTGAATTTTTATGAGCATTCGCAATTATCACTCCAGCAACTTTGAAGTTTGTTCCTGGACAGGTAGTCAAGCAGTTTACCAATACTTATTGCCTTCACTTTCACAAGAGTAACTACTGTACATGCCAGAGCAGAGATACTGTGCAAATGACTGTGGAAAGGATTTAATGATAAATCATGTACCGACCGAGTATCGAACCTGAGTCGCCCGATTTACAGTCCAACGCTCTACCACCTATTGATTAAACCGGACGGTCACACTGAGTCTCGTCTGGTGTCTTGCTTTAATATAACGTTAATATACGTTTAAAGTTAAAAGTACCCTGTAATATTTGAAGAAAATAAGACAGTTATAATAGATTTCTGTGTTGCATTGTATATCATGGCCACGTAGTCTTATTGTCTAATAAATGTATTGTTATTGTAGTTATTGAAGGAAATCACACAGGAGAGTATAACAAAAATCTATTTAAGCCGCGTCATGACAAAACCAACATAATGGGTTTGCGACCAGCATGGATCCAGACCAGCCTGCGCATCCGCGCAGTCTGATCAGGATCCATGCTGTTCGCTATCAGTTTCTCTACTTGTTATACGGTCTGTTAGCGAACAGCATGGATCCTGATCAGACTGCGCGGATGCGCAGGCTGGTCTGGATCCATGCTGGTCGCAAACCCCTTATGTTGGTTTTGTCGTGACACGGCTCATTTATCGTTTCAGGTATCAGTGTAAGTTTAGCATCACTCTACCTCGCCGAGATCTCGCCAAAATCAATCCGAGGTGCTGTAGGCACCTGTCATCAGTTATTTATCACCATAGGAATCCTGTGGTCCATGGTGCTTGGTCTACCAGACCTCTGTGGTAAGTTTAACAAATGATCCAAATTGTACACAAAAGTAAAAGTAGTACTAGATACGAAAATAAAATTAATTCATTGATATCTTTTAAATTGTGGCGTTGAATGTATCAGAATTAAAATTTAAATAGCACAAAACAATGCGTTTCGTTTTAAGCTTAGATTAATACATGTATATGATTTTGTAAGTAATGGTAATTGAAAGAATATTTATACTGTAAAGGAATAATGAGTTTAAACAAAAACATCCTCTACAGAAAACTGCGAATTGTACATAAACTGTTTCACTATTTCTAATGTTTGTTTTCTGAAAAAAATATTCAATAAGTATAGATAAATCATGATTTCAATACAGGTACTTGGGGTGCTTGGCCAGTACTGTTCGGGTTTAACGCTTTGCCTGCACTCGTCTGTTTGTTGTTGTTCCCACTGTGCCCAGAGAGCCCGAGGTACATGTTGATAAAGAAAAATGACGAAGATGGCGCCAAGAAAGGTATTTTTTTTTCGCCCGAATTTTTGATTCAATTCAATTTATATCTAAATATTTACAACATTTATTTGTTATCAGAAACGTGTTGATTAGATAATTTAATGGACAGAGTGACATTTCTTTCAGTATATACTCTCAGACTTGAAGTAATAAAATCTAAATATATCAAAATATCTTCACTTTGAATTTTAATAGATGTAATATGTAATCAGTTTTCAATATAGTTCATTACAATAGTGTAACTGTTACGGTAATTTCAAAGCCGTTTCTTTTATGGTAAATAATGTTACTTTTCGGCAAATATTTAAAATTATTTTAAGAAAGTAATAGAACTAACGCATTAAAGTCTAACACTTTGTTTGAACAGCTCTGATAAAACTTCGTGGGTACTTGGATGTGGAAGACGAGCTAGAAGAAATGAGAGCGGAAGCTAGAAAAGCGTCGTCGATTGAAACTTTCACCCTGAAAAAGTTGTTGTCGACCCCTGAATTAAAATTACCCATAATTATTGCCGTGGTGATGCAGATTGCCCAGCAATGGTCTGGTATTAATGCCGTAAGTTTTCTGATTGGTTGATTTAAATATGCTGTGTGTCAAGGCATATTTCTTACCGGCTTTGTAATACTGCACGTAACACTTACGAATCCGTTCCTGGAACCAACCAGTACTAAGCAATGAGTGGAAAGTGTCTTGCTCAAGACAACAACGGCTTGCAACTGACTGGATTTGAACACACGTGGCCAGCCATCCTTAGATTACTAGTCAAACGCATTAAGCACTCGGCCATGTCGCCACACATTAACATAAACATCGCCTGCCAACTTCTAATTTCACGTTTTTCAGATCCTTACTGCTTTATATTTTTTTCTTGACAATTTTGTATCCAGCCGCCATATTTGAACATAAAACAATTTGTAACTGTCAGATATCTATTTAAGTAAATGTAATTACGGTCAATCTTTGTCCATCAAGAATGTAATTTCTTTTACATACTTCAAAATGTTGATTAACAAAAGTACTGTTGATTGATATTTTGACTAACAATATTTATCTTTATTATCATAGGCTATGTCCTACTCCAGTTTCATCTTTGAACAAGCCCAGGTTCCGGACCAGACCATTCCATACGTTGTGGTTGGGCAGGGTGCTATCAATGTAATTGCCACTATTATATGTGTAAGTAATGATTTTTTTATTATTGTTAATCAAAACCATGCTCAATATATGTATTTCTAGACAAAAATAACATTTTCAAAATATTAACTGACAAAAAAGCTAACAGTGCTGAAATGGTCTTAAGATATAATGTCGTAGGAATGAGCTGTGCACAAATCTGCAGACAGACCCGGTAAATAAAAGTCATTTCCGGTCTCAGCAAGTTTCCGGATTAGTTACTATTTTCTCATTTTATTTATCTGTTTTGACAGGTGCCATTAATGGAAAAGTTAGGTCGCAGACCACTATTGATATTCCCAATGGGAGGAATGGTGCTGTCATTTTTGGTACTCACAGTGTCTCTGAACCTTCTTACGTCGGGAGATTTTGATGTAAGTGTGGCATGTTGCATTTTGCTGTTTACTATTAAAGTCGTGTATTTTTTTTTTGTAGATTGTATTTTTTGGACATTGTAGTTTTCACTATGTTTGTTATAATACAATATTAGACTGACTTATTATGAGATGTCCGTACCATTTGAAAACACGTGCATGTTTAAATTGTAGTTATACATAAACAATTGTCAAGATGCAAAATAGTAATACTTTTAGTCATAAACAGTTGATATATTTAGTTTTGTTAATTAAAGGCCCAATATGCTTCAGAAATGCTTTAAATTTTATTTTTCAAAAGTTTTCTATTTCGATGTCGTGTTATAGTTTCCAAAATGTTACTCATTGGCCAAGTACCTGAAACATCTTTTGCTTCAGTTGCTTTTGTTAATTAAAGTTCAGTTATAATGATTTGGTACTTTGTATGTAAGTCAAAATACAACTTTGTTTACATTTTGCTACTTTCATGACAAATAGTTCACATTCAGTGCTTCTTTAAAACATTTTAAAATTTATTTAATATTCATTTCTGAGGCATAATGTGCCTTTAAAGTGTTTGGCATATAGAACTGCATTTTTGTATTACACGCGGCGTCTAGTAGATATGCATTTGTCCATACAGCAATTGTGAACATTTTAGACTTGATTTTGTGTATTTTTGGGGGGTTTAACAATATCACACTGTTTTCAAAATTTCTAATAAAAATAGCTTTTCTGTCACAGAGCTTTAAGGGATTAGAATAAACGTTTAACTGAAGTGATAGTGCCATGTTTGAATATCATATTCTTTTTATCAGTATACTCACTTCACTGGTTCCGCCTCTGTTGAAGTTCGGCTCCGCCTTAAATTGTCGCCAATTTTAATATGATGCTCCGTATTGCTAGCATTTCGCCTTCGTTGACGGGCCGGAAGGAAACCAGGACAACTTTGATCAATATCACTTGTCGATTCATTAATTACAAGTTACAAAGCCTAAACCACGCCCACTATCAGAGAGGTGGTTAAGAAAGTACGCCATACTCTGCGCACCGGTTACGCTACGGTTAAGAAAGTACGCCATACTCTGCGCACCGGTTACGCTACGGTTAAGAAAGTACGCCATACTCTGCGCACAAGTAAGAGGAGATCACTGCAGAACAGTTCGTCCTCAAAATTATTCGGACATTATGCAATTCGTACCAATATTTAAATGGACATATTCTCGGCACATATTGTCTTGAATTTATTGTAAGTATACCAATCATTTCAAGTTTGCTTGTTATCCAATTTATTTTGCTTCGACCAGACGTTTCAATCGACAAACATTTCAGAATTTCAGACATGGCGTTACTTTGTGAATTTATGCATTAGGTTCCACTTTTTCACGAAAATATGTAACGTAATTAATATGAAAAAGGCAAAGCCTCAAAGCGAGCTCGATTTACTTTTACCGTGAAATAGTATAAAATAAAAAAATGGTTCCAATATAAGTGTGCAGGACACCAGTCTACGCTTCCGTTTTCAGTCAAAATTCTGCTTTCATCCTTATCTTGTAATTCTAAAAGTTGCGATGTGTCAATTCAGTACTTCGGACGAACGTTTTTAAGACCAGCACATTCTAGTAGGTACTCGCGTTACCGTTAAGCTCGCTTTGCGAGCAGGCCCTTCGGGCCAGCTCTTCGAGCTCGCTATTAAACAACGAGCACATACCAAGAACATGGAGAAAAAAATTATTTGTGCTTCGGATATTCAACTGTAATAGAGAACGATTTTCAATGCTGATTGACTGTTCACATAATTTGGCGGCGTCTTTGATGTGCAGAATCAACATTTAACTTGTTTATACTTATCTACAGGAGCACAAGTTTGCCCTTGCCATGGTGTCTATTACAGTGATGATGACGTATGTCATTGGTTTTGCTGTCGGATTAGGTAAGACTTATAGAATTTTTTTCTATTTATAGCATTCTATTTATAGCATTTAATTATTATAATTCTATTAATAGCATTCTATTTATAGCATTTAATTATAATAATTGATTATTATTAAGCATTTGTCTAAAGACTTCTAGATAAAACCAACTTTGTGATCATTAAAATTCAAATTTTTTTAAAGAAGCTATAATTTTATATACATGTATATTATATATAAACAACATTAATTAGCTCACCAGAACCGAAGGTTCAGGGTGAGCTATTAGTATCAAAGGGGGATGATCCGGCGTCCGTCAGTCCGTTGTCCATCGTCATGCGTCAACAATCGTCTTTTTCTCTGAAACTGCTGGGCAGATTTACTTCAAATTTGGTCTGTAGCATCCTTGAGACAGTCACACTTAAATTTGCTCATGTCATTTCAATTGGCCCCTTTTAGGGGTCAACAGAGCCAAAAATTGAAAAACCTTAAAACATCTTCTACTACAGAACTAATTGATGATCACCAAACTTTGTCTGTAGCATTCTTAGGTAGTCTTTTATCAAAGTTGCTCATATTAATTTGATTGGCCCCTATTAGGGGTCTCTAGGGCTAAAAATAGAAAAACCTTCAGACATCTTCTTCTACAGAACTAATGGATGGATGATCACCAAACTTTGTCTGTAGCATTCTTGGTTCTTGGGTAGTCTTTTATCAAGTTTGCTTATATTAATTTGATTGGCCCATTTTAGGGGCCACTGAACCTAAAAATAGAAAAACCTTTAAACGTTTATTTCTACAGATCTAATTGATGGATGATCACCAAACTTTATCTGTAGCATTCTTAGGTAGTCTTGACATATTAATTTGATTGGCCCCTTTTAAGGGCTGCTAAAGCTAAAAATAGAAATACATTAAAACATCTCCTTTTACAGACTAATTGATGGATGATCACCAAATTTTGTCTGTAGCATTCTTGGGTAGTCTTTTATCAAGTTTGCTCATATTACATGTCTTAATTTGATTAGCCCCTTTTAGGGACCGCTTAAGCTAAAAATAGAAGAAACCTTTGAACATCATTTCCTACAGAAATAATGAATGGATGATCAACAAACTTTGTCTGTAGCATTCTTGGGTAGTTTTTTATCAAGTTTGCTCATATTAATTTGATTGGCACCTTCTAGGGCCGCTAAAGCTTAATATAGAAATACCTTTAAACGTCTACGTTCTATTTTGTTGTCAAGTTTGCTCATATTAATTTGATTGGCACCTTCTAGGGCCGCTAAAGCTTAATACATGTATAGAAGTACCTTTAAACGTCTACGTTCTATAGAACTATTTGATGGATGATCACCAAATTTTGTTGTAGCATTCTAAGGTAGTCTTTTATCAAGTTTGCTCATATTAATTTGATTGGACCCTTTTAGGGGCCACTAAAGCTAAAAATAGAAAAACCTTTGAACATCATTTCCTACTAAAATAATTGATAGATGATCAACAAACTTTGTCTGTAGCATTCTTATGTAGTCTTTTATCAAGTTTGCTCATATTAATTTGATTGGCCCCTAAACTGGGCACTAAAGCTAAAAATAGTTATACCTTTAAACGTCTCCTTCTACAGAAGTAATGGATGGATGATCACCAAATTTTGTTTGTAGCATTCTTACTAATCTTAGGTAGTCTTTTATCAAGTTTGCTCATATTAATTTGATTGGCACCGTTTAAGCTAAAGCTTAAAGCTAATAGTTAAATGCCCCAGGTCATGACATTTCTTCAAATTATTGTTTAAAGATATTATATGCTCAAATTTACTATTAGAAAATATTTACAATGGATAAAAGCAGTTGTTTCTGGTGAGCGACTCAGGGCCATCATGGCCCTCTTGTTAATTTTCTTTTGTCAATATTTAAAAATAAGATTGTTTCCATTCATCTTATAAATGTGCGTTACATTTTAAAAGGATAACTCTTATTTTTCACAGGACCAATTCCATTTATTGTTGTGGGTGAAATTTTCCGGCAAGAGCCACGTGCTGCTGCCATGAGTTTCTCGTTGGCGTTCAACTGGATATGTAACTTTATTCTCATGTTAACGTTCCGGTTTATTCAGGTTAGTACTGGAAAGCATGTCTCTTTTTTTCTATATCACCATCTAAAATCAATCGAAATTAATGCACTTTCCCAAATATATATTGACCCAAGGCTTATGTCTTCTTTCTTTTTGCATGTTGGTCAGTCAAGAATTAAACAAAATGACATACATGTATAGTGTAAGGATAAGTTTTGAATTTTATAATTTAACGTAAGCAATCATACTCTTATCACTTGGCTTATTGTTTTTAGAAAATTAGCAACATTTTTAGCTCGGCTAACACACACAAAGACAAGTGTAAGGTTTTATGATCGCCTTTTGTCTGGTTTCCACTTCCTTTGCGTAGGTCCATACGTCTGTCGGTCCATGCGTCTGTCGTCATCGTTTCATTTTAACAATTTCCATTTAACCATTTGGTCAAATTTAAAAGAAACATTCCTGATATGTTTTGACTGGTACCAGTCTTTTATACATGCATGCCTTAGTAACATTATTAAAATTGTTCAAATTGTGTCCCTTTCATCAACATCTATATGCGATCTCGGAGGTAGGTTGTTTTGCTTATACATGTTGTATATTTTTGAAACATTTTTGTCATAATTTGCAAGGGCGTATTTGGTATGTACTATAATCACTTGATCTCTATCGAAATTGTTCTTACTGTGCCCCTAAGGTCAAAGTTTGCTACGTCATGGCGGTTACTTGAATTTTTAAATATTACCTATACGGAGAAGAAAAGCTTATTTTTCCCAGACCTGATAGTAAATGCTTCACTCTTTAAAATTGGACATAAATACACATAAACATTTGAGCCGTGCCATGACAAAACCACAAACAAACGCACTTTGTTGGTTTTGTCATGACGTGCTTCATTTAACCTTGTGTCTAGATTGAATGTGAGTTGGATCGAATGACATTCATTTACTTTTATTTAAGCTTTAACTTCTCATATATAGTACTTTTTCAGTAAAAGGTTTGGAATATCTTTGAATATCTTCACCCAGCTGCCTAACTTTAGTTTTGTGAAGGGATGTCCTTCATTGTTTTTTCGTATAACAAACAGTTTGAATGTTTTACCTTAAATTTGAGAAAATGACCTTCCTTTGAAGCTGTTAACTTTTATACTTTACATTAAAATGATTTAGGGGAGTTTTTATTATTATTTGGAAAGTAAACAGTGACCCTTCATGGCCTTGACCGAGTGACCTACATCCGCATTTTAAATATTAATGCCTTCTCTAGTAAAAGTTCTTAGGTGAGCAATTTTAGGACTATAATAGCCTTCCTTTTTAATCAATTCCAACAATGACTGTGTGTATATATTTATATAGTCAAGGGCCAGGACTCTGCAGTTTCTTTTCTTTTAGTTTATGACTCTTGGATTAGTGTTTGGTTCGGGTAGCGTTATGTTGTACTAATACATTGAAGTTTTGAACTTCAGTGACATCGCTTGCTATCATATGCCTGTTTACAGACATATTTTGCTATGTTAACATCCATTTTATGAAGTTAGCTTCCGGAAACGGAAGTAAAACTACTTTTGAACGATAACATGTATCTACTGGTCGACATGATCTCGTTGCGATCACCGGTTGTCCGTGTTGTATAGAACATGCTCCATGCTTTCAATTTTCGATGTTATAAACGCTGTTTTGTTATTTTTCATATTACAGAAAGGCATCGGCGCATACACGTACCTCATTTTTATTGTCATCCTGGTTGCTTCTATTGTATTTATCACCATCTTTGTTCCGGAGACAAAAAACAAAACATTTGACGAGATTGCGCAGTCGATCGCCTTCGGGAGGCAGAATAAAGGGAACGCGTTCGGACAAGACGCCGAGGAATTGCAACCAATGGGTGACTCTAAGAAAGTTTAATGATAGCTTCACAATAGGAGTGAAATGTTTACTTTATAATATGTGGTTATATTATGAACAAGATAGGTTCAACACCGGGTTTAAAACACTAAGAATAAATGATGTTGAAAATTTACTGTCTATAAGTTTTGAAAAATTTAGAATAGTTCGGTTGTGCACACATTTACTTTCAGCTGTCACGTTTTTAATTTTTGATCTGTTAACATTGTTAATATCATTTTTTGTTTTGCATCAAACGTACTTCCATCCAGCCTGTCGGCGACTAATTTTTAGTTGTGAATGTAATGAAAATAAGGTTACGTCTTTCATTTTGTTCATGAAATCACGAGGTTTTTTCATGAGAAATAATATCTTTTTAATTAAGTATAGGCAAATTTGTTTTAGGAAAATAAATTTTTTTAGGGAGACAGTGTTTTTTGACCGTGTGAATGATTATTTATTTATTGAATGTTTTTGTTGTTTACAAATGATAATCTTGAACAAAATTAGAATAGCGGGCATTCGACTTTGTCTTGGCTATAAGCCAAAAAAATTCTCGTCGCAGACAAAAGAATTGGCAATTTACAGCTCAGTATTTTATGATTCCGAAAAGGTGCACATTAAAGAAACTGTAGCATGTTTATTGTTACCATTTTATGAGATAAACATCATTGCTACAAGTTGTAAACTTTTTATTTCGAGGTGACATCCAGTGCTTTTGAGTTTGTTTGTTCGTTATTAAGAACTCATTTGCACGAGAGTCGCTCTCGGCGTAACAAGTTTAAAACTTGTATCAATAATAGCTTCTCTCATGCAAATGAGTTTTAATAATCTTGCAGCAGACGAAATATGTAATTGCTTGTTTCATGTAAATGAGTTTTAAAACCTTACTGTTGACGAGCTAAGATATTCGCTAGTGATACTCACAGTGAAACATTGAATCACATTTGTAAAACAGTAAACAATTCATGTTTTTGAAGCATTTATTCTTGTGACTTGTGTAATTGTGTTGCTATGTATTTTGTTGTTTTTTGTGTAGTTACAGTAGAATAGGGATTATTGTTTGACATTGTTTGACTTAGAGATCTTATTATATTGTTTGTGAGTATATACAGTAGACACAAAATATTCTACTTATATTTCCTTATTGTTATATGTTAAAAAGTGAACATGTTGATTATGAACTGTGTTAAAGTATGAATGAAGAAAATTTACATATTTGAATGTGAACATATAAGGTATGCTTTACCTGAGAACATAATATGGGCACTCTGTATCCGTTACCTGCCGAACGTGTGAATTAGACTTACCCACCTTGCAAAAGATTGCAATATCAAAATAGAAACATTTAGCAACCAACAGTATAGAGCCTGAGTCAGACTTCACGGATGTGCAGGCTGGCCTAGCTTTATACTGGTGGCAAGGACTAATCACATTTGTTTCGGTTAATTGTCAACAATTTACATGAAGTCTGAAATGTAAACATATGAGAATTTCTCGTATTAAGCCAAGTCTTACATGTGAACATATTATAGTATTAAGTCATGTTTTACATGTGAACATATGATAATGATAATTTCTCGTATTAAGCCAATTCTTACATGTGAACATATACAAAATGTAAATCTTTCATGTAAACATGGAAGAAAATACTGTTCACGTGTTCATTTTAGATCAAACTTGCTTTGAGATCAATAAAAAATGAATAAGTTGTATAAGCGTAAATATTAAATATATTTTACATGTGAACACTTTAATTTAATGTCAAAAATGTGAACATCAATGTAACGTCATGTCTAGAACGGTTAAACATGATACATTTTTATGTCGAGTTATTGCGAACATAATTAAAATGTTGTGTTATTTCTCTTTTTTTTCAAGAACATAAGAACATGATTATAGTATATCAGTTGTGAACATGTTTGTAAATGTAGTGAACATTATCTATGTATTTATGTTAACATATTGTATATACTAGCTAGATGTAGTGCAGGTTCGTATGGCAGCTAGTACATATCTATTTTTTCCCTGTTATATTTTGCTATTCCTGTTTACTGATATACTTTATGGTAAATAAATTTAACATTTTTCTCCCATGATACAGTGGCTAAGTCAACAGACTTGAAATTTAATGTATTTTTTTTTTACTTGAGTGACCCCCATAGTTTCTATAATAACTATATCAACCCAAATTGAATCCCACATTTTATTCTAGAAATGATATATAAATGTATGACCGTGGTATTTTGAATTGTTTATAAAGTCAGAAGATCACGTAGGCTTTGCCATTGATGAAAAAGGGAGTTGCATTACGGAAATTCCACTAGTATTTAAAATTCGGTGGGTCCGGGCTAGGGGTAGAAGGGGGTGGGGGTAAGAACCATGCCTTTTTTCTTGAATTTATAACGCTCCTGGAATGAGATAAATGTAACAATGTATCAAAAACATTCTTAAAACCTTGGGGTAATGAAGTCATACATCGACAGGCGGGGACGGGGGTAAACTACCCTCAGTGTGTTGTTTTTTGTTGTTGTCGGGGTTTTTTTTAGGGGGGGGGCACTGACTTAATTAACACGAGTTATTTATTGCCAGTAAATAAATGAAATATCACTATAGATACCAAGATATACCACAGTTACACATATATTATTGTCTTTACAGATATACTTTGCTCATCTTTGAATAAAATAATTTTATCGCAGATATTTATTGAAAGATATGTTCATATTATGGCCTCCTATAGTGTGCAGAGTTTAAAACATAACATACCTACTTTGTGTGAAGTCAAAAGATTTTGATTTTATATTTAAAAAGAGACGGTGCAGCAATTATCAATATTTTCAAATTTTATATCAAATTTGAGCACAATATATCTTTAAATTTACGACTGAATCATTACTTCCATGATGAAATGTTAGATTATGAATCTCACATTATTCCCCCAGCGTATGTGCTATATACATGTAGTTGTTTCATGTTTTACTCTTTGTCTTGAACCGAATATGTCGGCTCAGCAAAGAAATATAACTTTAGCTTTTGTAGTTTAAGAAATTTTGTTAAGTGTATGTTGGTGTTACGTGTGATTGTTATGATGTGATGTGTCTATATGGTTATTGCTTTTTTTTGGTAGAGCCGTTGTGGCGTGATTATCGCGCACATGATATTTTTATCCGGCATTACGACATTGCAAATGTTCCAATTAAATAATTAATTTACGGTTTGGAAAGAGTGCTATTCAGTATATATACAGATTTTTTTTCATTCAACTGTAATTATTGTGCTTAAAACTTAGTCTGCTCTTTTAACATCTTCGTGATATCTTTTAATTTTACATATATTTCCTTTAAAAATATTGCGTCTCTAAAGTTATTTACTTTGAAAGTGCTCAAAACTTTTACCTGTTTTAACCTATATTTATTTATTTTTACAAAAATTAGACTCTTTTAAAAGCTTATTTTCTTAAAGTATATATTTTATGTTTTTAAAGTAATGTTGATTTGTTAAAGTTATTTTGATTTGATGACTTGAATGTTGACAATATGGCTACGGTCATTCTATCTCCACCAAATTTGTCGAGTGGCGAAGTTGGCTGTTACATGTTGAGTAATAACTGGTACAGATTCCTGGGAGTTGGTCAGTGGATATCACTAAAATACGCCTAAACTGTCATCAAATACAAAATAAACGGAAACAGAAAATTTACATACTTAATAATATTTATTTATAAGAAGCCTGTTCAAAAAAAAAAAAAAAAAAAAAAAAAAAAAAAAACAACATGTAATGTGTAACCTTTATTAATTGATAACAAAAACAAATCCACGAAAATGTCGAAAAAATAGATCAAAAGATCTTATATAAACAGTTTTGTTTTCTGCTTTATTTCAAACATTAAAAAAATAATCTCTGTTTTGGATGTTATTTGTTTGTTAAATTATACCCAGGTCTGCATTTTATCTTTTAATAATCAGCTAGTCACATGGCTTCGTGTACCTCAATAATATACATTTAAAGCTTTCTTTAACGACCACCTTCAGAGAAATATATGGTTGTCTTATTTGTTGAAAGACGACTGTTATTTAAAGGTTTTAAACTCGTACATGTATGAATCTTGGTGATTTAGCCACTTTGGTCTATGTTAACAGATGGTCTTTAAATAAAGGTTTGCATGTATATTATTTTATTTATTTTGAAAACACATGTTAACAGCGTTTATCAAATTAAGTATTTAATGTTGTAACTTAAAATGTCTCATTTTTGTGCCTCATTTTGAACTGCTTCATTCAGTATGCTAAAATGTCATTTTAATTATTGTAATCAACTTTAACTGGTTCTTAAAATATGTTGTTTTCCACTATTCAATCTATTTTTTTCGTGCTTTATTTTAAACTGCTTAAACTACACAAAATGACAGAAACTCTTCATAGGTATCATAGTCACTTTATGTAAGCATATTAAGTTTTATGTTAATGTATAAGGAAAAACAACAAACTGTCATCTGTCACGTTAGTTTACGTAGAAAGAAAGTTTAACATTTTTACATGGTGAATCTCTTCTGTACAAATGCTAAATTAATCTGTACAATTTATTTATCTGCCAGGAGGTCAGAATCTCATTTTTGAACAAAAACACATGTTATAGTTGTAATGTTGTTGGTTTTGTTTTCCTTTTTTAAAAACGAAATACAGAAACATACCAAGATTATCGAATAAAAAACTATTATATATTTGTTATAATACAAATGTACTAAAAAGTCATATATTTTTGTTAAAAGAATCTCTAACCGTACTTAAATACTCTTAAATGTCTATGTTCTGCATGTTCTGAGCAAGCTCTATTACTTTGAAAGTTTTCTACGAATGTTTAAATTTGCTTTTTATTACACATCCATTATTATTACGTTTGAATAGAGAACGGTTTCCGGTAAGCATGCGAAGCTTCTGTTAAAATTTATGAAGAAATTGAAAATTAACAGCAGTTACCTCTTCAAATTTTGACTAAACGGTGCTCTTTTACCTTTAAATGACGTCATGTACTAGTAATATGTCGCACGTTCGAATCTGACCTATTGTAATACAGCTCTCAGTTTCTTTCTTTTTTTGCACATATTTTATTCTCTATGAGTTTACTAACATATTACTTACTCAGATTTCTGACTGGACTTTGACTAGCTCTCTGCTTTGTGTTTTTAGAACTTTCTATTGATATGTTAGTTGTTTACAATAATTATAACGAGCCTGGTCTGATTGCATGAACCGTGGGTGTGCAATTTGGCCTGCCTTTATACTAGATCTAATAACAAAACATTTCATTATAACTATGCTGCATTGTTTACAAGTATTTTTGATTTATGTTTACTGAACAGAACAGAATGTACATGTAACTTTTATTTTGTATATGATGATGATCGTCGGATACCCGCGGTTTATAAACATGTAACTGACAAATGTTAATGTTTCGGTCCGGCCATGGGTATCCGACGATGATGATGATGTACTATGTACAAATAAAAAAAGTTCTGTTCTGTTGTTTATTTTTACTATCTATCGCTATTTTAGTGTTTTTCTTCATGTTAGTTTTACCTTTGAGTTTTTTTTATTTCTATTTATGAGATATTTTATCTATATCTTTATTTTAGAAAATGATTGTGTTATTGGCTAACGTTATGTTTATTTTAGAATTATTTTTAAAATTCTTTTGACAACTTTTGAAGTATTTCCATGACATGGACACCGCTTATTTTATATAATGATTTTAACTGCTTTAAGACAATTTTGTATGTAAAAGATATTTTAATTTTTTTTTTAAACTATTGGAATTTATTTTAAGATACCTATTTTATATTGTGATGTGATAAAAATTTATTACTTTGTATTAGTTTACACGAAATATCAAAGGTTTATTTCATATGAAAAATCAATCGCATCCCATCGGCTGTTTCCGTCAAACTTCGGATAAGAAAACTATATATGATAGCCGAGATGTTACGATTGGTGAACAATGTATCTTAGTCATTATTTCGACCATACCAATGTTAGCGAAGAATTTATCAGTTAATAATAGGTATTTAAAAACGCCGTAAATTCGTAGAAATTTATTTGACTTTACCAAGAATTTACACGAGTTACCGTAGTTATTATACAAACAGTCCTATTATTTAGAAAATTGCATAACCAGTAGTTAAAAAATATCATGTCACCAATTTTTTGTCTTGTTTTTATAAAGGAATGTTGTTGATTTATATAAAGGGAATATTTAACAAACAATTGTAGTACATACATAGTGTTTAGAGTTGTGCGTATGTGTGTGTGTTTTTTTGCTACACTCATCGGTTTTGTATTATGGTTTTATGTAGAATTTCTTTTTATATATTACATATATTTAACTTATTGCAATAGAATCCTGACCAATCTTAGCTTTATTTATTTCGTTAAAATGCTTCCTTTGCGACTATAGTTAGCAATAATTTTAAGGTTATGATATATTGGCAATCTGCAACCACGGTGCAGTTGGCCAGTTTTAGTAAAGGACCAACTGTAAATAAATTGAAAATTGAAAAAACTTTCTTTGCAAAGATGAACAACAGTTATCTTTATGGCTTTAAGTGGTACACGAATTTTGGGTGTATAACGATTATAGGTCTTATAATGGGAATATAATAACAATTTTACATCAAATGACATTTATTAGTCCCCTACCGGTTTAACCGGAGGGGACTTTAGGTTTACCCTCCGTCCGTCTGTCCGTCTGTCTGTCTGTCTGTCCGTCTGTCCGTCTGTCTGTCTGTCAGTCTGTCAGTCCGTCAGTCTGTCCGTCCACAAAACTGGATCCCTCGATAACGCAAAAAGTACTGAAAATATTTTAATAAAACTTGAAATAGGTAGATGGCAGTATGGAGATTATGCACATCTTTTTCTTTTCTTTCTATGTTGAAAATTCTGGTTGCTATGGCAACAAATAGACTGAAAATATGGCAAATTTAACACATAAACTAGATCTAGTGATAATGCAAAAAGTTCTGAAAATATTATTATGAAACTTGAAATATGGATAGATGGCAGTCTGGAAATTATGCACATTTTTTTCTTTTCTTCCTATGTTGAAAATTCTGGTTGCTATGGCAACAAATAGCCTGAATTTCAAGATTTCTGATTTAAATTTTTCAGCTTTTTCACTATATGTTCTTTATTTCTTAAGGTGTTTACTTCAAACTTTAAATATAAGTTCCTGGTCATCAACCACATCATATGTGACAAGGTTTATAACTCTAGCACAAAAAATATTAATATTACCTCCCTTGAACTTAGATTTTTTAGGGGAAAAAATGTTGTCTTTTTTAAATAACTTCTTTATTTCCTAATGTATCTACTTCAAACTTCATATATATGTTTCTTATTATCACTCGACATTTTTTGAGAAGGTTAAATACTCTAGCAAGACTATTTTCCAGAATTATGTCCCCCTTAAACTTAGATTTTTTTCGAGAAACTGGTATTTTCACTCCAACTTCTTCATTCCTTATAGGATTTACTTTAAAATCCCACATCGTAATAATATGACAAGGTTGTATAAACATAATTTCCTTACTAAGCATGGAAACTTAACACATTACTGTGATATAGACAAACTTATTTTATTATGTTTTGTGATCGATATTTTCAAATACAGACTTCATCCTCAAATTCATTATAAATGGCAATACACAGGAGTGTATGACAATTAAAGAACTTTTTGAGGGACCGGTAGGGGACTACTGTATTGCCCGCAATACTATCAAATGCTTGTTATACTTTATTTCAAATAAAATTTTATTTTATTATAAACTTATAAATGAAATATTGAGAAATATTGATGAAATAAAATGCGTATTTCCATTTTCACTGTAAAAAAATTCACTGCAGAGAAACATATTTTCCGTATTTTCACTGGTGTCTTGCGGGACTACTTTCTTCTAAATTCTGTCAGTAAACAAAATTTAACGGAAACTCTTTCAAATTGTAATGTCAAAAAAATGTATATTCTAAGCAGAAAATTCAAGTTATTTTTGTCTTTAAATACAGGATATATTTTCATCTTGTGGTGTAAAAATTATCATATTTCACTCGTGGCTATCGCCATTCTGACTCGTGAAATATTTATTTTCATACCATTTGATGAAAATAAATTCTGTATTTAGAGAAAAAACTTGAATATCCTCTATTTATTGGAAAATATACCTGTATTTTTGGTAAATAACAGCAATAAGGGATTGAGCAAGAATTTGAAATACTATGACTAAAGAGATAAAGCAAAGAATTAGAAATAAATTGTACATGTTACTTATTATAACAGATGTGAGTGTAGCTAATTGCGTGAAATATAAATGAGTGCATGGTGTTTTAAAACCGTAGAACAATGTTTACATAGTGGTGGACAATATTGTATATATATATGTCAAAATATTAAGTTGCATTGTTAAGGATAGTGTTATTATATAAGTATTTTTTGGTGATTTTGCAATGCTTGTATACTTGTGGTAAATAAATAAACACATTAAAAAGGTATTTTATCTTTCAGCCTTTTTCCTCCCTACATATTATATAATTTGTAAAACAAGAAGATGTTTGAAGAATTCCTGAAAAGAAAGAAAATGTATCCCGGGACAACCAATATTCAATCAGTTAAGCCATTTTTAGTCAATAATAAATGGAAGGAGAAATTATACGTTAAATTTATTTTAGCTATTAATGGATCTATCAACACTTTTTCATTTTAAGGTTGGTACATTTTCAACAAGTCTTGATCTTTCTTAGAAATTCAATAAAAACGATATGACCCACTCGGGTCACTCTCAGAAATATTTTAACCTAAATTCAAACAGCAGGGTAATCACTATGGAAAATTTGTTCAAGATAAATCAGGGCCACTTAAAATTGTAGAAAATTTCACAACAGTCTATTCAACTATTTTCAACAGTATTTTCAAGATTTTAAAAAACTTACACTAAATGTTATAACATATGTAAAGTACAATGCATTAGTATGACTACTGTTAATGTGTATAAAAAGGCAGTTAAAGGTGTCACTTCTTAGTACGCTATTTGGGGTGCAAAATGATAAATGCATCCAATCTTTACAGCATTTTACCTTCCCCACTTTATAATACTAGCAAATACGGAAACTTGTCTAGATCTGCCAATTGCTATCGCCTACAAAACAATTATTCTACAATCATCACATGAAAAAAATTGATAACAATATAAGATTTTATTAATAAGGACCCCCATGTAAAGTCTGATGAATATTTAGTGGTACATCATATAAATAAATGCTTTAAATACACCTAGGACTGAGGTAAATGGTAAAACTCTTTAGCCAATACTTTTATAAAAAAAATTAACTTGCTTCGAAAAAATTTTCCACTATTTTAAACAAGTGACTATTTTGATATAGTTGAAGTTGGACAATTTATATTGTGTCACTTAAAACAAACAGTTTCTTATTGTTTTACTGATAACAACTGACAATTAATCAAGTATGGCATTTCTGTCAGTTTTGAAGTTAATACAACATGTGACTTTATGCAATTTAGTCAGACGTGACATCAGTGCCACAGAATTAAGAATGTGTTTGAATTTAGGTTGTGATTGAAAATTGGTTGTTTCGGGATATGGCAGATAGGAAGAAACTTAATGTTGTTTACTTTCCCTATAAATTCTGAACTTGCATAAGGCGAATCGTTAAAAAATTAAAACTTAATAATAGAATTAACTATTCTAATGTAATGGTAATATTTCTTGCATAGCCAACTGGCGTTTCCGTAAGTTTAACCCATGCCGGAAATTTCATCTGGCATGGGGGAGCTAGATGAGTCGCGTGCCATACAACAACATCATTTTAGCGCATTTTATGAATGAATCGCGTTAAAATGACCTCATTTAAGAAGGGAACTATTGAGCAAGAATTTGAAATACTAGATAAAATACAACCCCATGCCATATGGAATTTCCGGCATGGGTAAAACTCACGGAAACGCCAGTCTGCTATGCAAGAACATACATGTATGACAGATATTATTAGTCTTCTACATATAGAATCTAGTTCAAATATGTTGATTTCCAAACAATCTCTATAGTTCAAGAATGGACTGTGAAATTGTAATAAAATGCCGGGGAAAATGATTGGATAAATGAAATGTAATGTGGATGATTTATTGTACAAATGCTAAATTGAAGGTAATGTCAGGATAAATGAAATTGTTATTGTTATTTATAGTAAAAGTGTTCAAGACGTACGGTAAAGATTGAGTAGATAAAATGTATTGGTAATGAATCGCGTTGATTTAATGACTGGAAAAATGAAATATTAATTGTGATTTATCGTACCAGTTTAAAAGTTGATGTAATGACTGGTTAAATAAAATGTATTTGTGATTTATCGTTCCAGTTTTAAAGTTGATGTAATGACTGGGTAAATAAGAAGTTATTGTGATTTATCGTACCATTTTTAAAGTTGATGTAATGACTGTGTAAATGAAATGTTATTGTGATTTATCGTACCAGTTTAATGTTGATGTAATGATTGGATAAATAAAAAATAATTGTGATTTATCGAACAAGTTTAAAGTTGATGTAATGACTGGGTAAATGAAACGTTATTGTGATTCATCGTACCAGTTTTAAAGTTGATGTAATGAATTGGTAAATGAATGTATTTGTGATTTACCGTACCAGTTTTAAAGTTGATGTAATGACAGGGTAAATGAAACGAAATTGTGATTTAACGTACCAGTTTTAAAATTGATGTTATGACTTGGTAAATGAAATGTATTTGTGATTTATCGTACCAGTTTTAAAGTAGATATAATGACTGGGAAAATGAAATAGTATTTGTGATTGATTGTACCAGATTAAAAGTTGATGTAATGACTGGGTAAATGAAATGAAATTGTGATTTATTGTACAAATTTAAAGTTAATGTAATGACTGGGTAAATAAAAAATTATTGTGATTTATCGTACCAGTTTTAAATTTATGTAATGACTGGATAAATAAAAAGTAATTGTGATTTATCGTTCCAGTTTAAAGTTGATGTAATGACTGGATAAATAAAACGTAATTGAGATTCATCGTACCAGTTTTAAAATTGATGTAATGACTTGGTAAATGATATATATTTGTGATTTATCGTACCAGTTTTAAAGTTGATGTAATGACTGGATAAATAAAAGGCAATTGTGATTTATCGTACTAGTTTAAAGTTGATGTAATGACTGGGTAAATGAAATGTTATCGTGATGTTTTGTACAAGTTATAAAGTTGATGTAATGACTGGATAAATAAAACGTAATTGAGATTCATCGTACCAGTTTTAAAATTGATGAAATGACTTGGTAAATGATATGTATTTGTGATTTATCGTACCAGTTTTAAAGTTGATGTAATGACTGGATAAATAAAAGGCAATTGTGATTTATCGTACTAGTTTAAAGTTGATGTAATGACTGGGTAAATGAAATGTTATCGTGATGTTTTGTACAAGTTATAAAGTTGATGTAATGACTGGGTAAATATAAAGTAATTGTGATTTATCGTACACGTTCTAAAGCTGATGTAATGACTGGGTAAATGATATGTATTTGTGATTTATCGTACCATTTTTAAAGTTGATGTAATGACTGGGAGAATGAAATGTTATCGTGATGTATTGTACAAGTTTTAAAGTTGATTTAATGACTGGGAGAATGAAATGTTATCGTGATGTATTGTACACGCTTTAAAGTTGATGTAATGACTGGGTAAATGAAATGTATTTGTGATTTATCGTACCGTTTTTAATGTAATAGTGTTGAATTTTTGTACATGTTTTCTGTAAAACTTATATGTCTTTGTTACTAGTATACTGAAATTCATTGATAATTCAGTTAATATTTCAATGCTGATTATGAAATATTTCACGGTTTGTTTTTTTCAAGAAAGAAAAAGACAGGGCAACGTTCTTCTGAACTTGGTATGTCTTTATATATCTTTATTGCTGGATAATTATTCTTTGTTATTTTATTCAGAAGTTTTGCCTGACAAGAATTGTGTTGCTCCTTGTCACATAAACAATCATTGTTAGATACGGAAATTGCCGGAAACTAACGGAATATACCGAATGTATACGAATTTATCATATTTGGCTACAGTTATTTCGCGGAAAATATATTAAATTTGAATATGTAAGACCTCATCCTGTAACACAGATTGAAAAATACCGTTGATTAAATCTCTCTTTTTTTATAAACAAAAATTATTACAACAGACAAGGTCGTTATTATCCAGCAATAAAAGTTTTGTAGTTTATAGCTGTGAAATGAAATGTGAAACATTTTTGTAAACAAAAATTTCAAAAAACTGTGTCAACAAAATAACTTAAATAAAATATATTTTTTACAATCCTGCACTACGAGAATGTAAGTGGTGTCTTGATGACTGATAAAAAAGGTCATGTAGGTGGGGTAAACTGGAATGAGCGTGTCCATCTGGGCGTCTGGCATTCGGGTTTTGTTTACACGAGACATAACTTGTAAACTATTTGAGTTCTTATATAGACATGGGAACTATAACTCTTTTACAAAGAATAAGAGTTAAGAGTTATAACCCCTTGAAGTTTGCCATACCTAATTTTTGTACAGATTCTCTCAAGAAGAGAAAGTTGTGTGGTGCATTGTTTAAGAACGATAACTACTAGTATCTTAACTTGTGGTTCATTTAAAGAGTTATTGCCCTTTGTAATTCTTCATCCAAGGTATAACTTTTTTAGATCCCAATTTTAATCTTTGCATATTCTTATTTAGGAAGAGTACATTGCGTAAGAATCGTAACTTTCTTTACATAAGTTTGGAGTTATTGCTCTTTGTAATTTTCAACCAGGCATGACTTTTAGAAGAATTGGAATCAGCTTCATTTTGCCATATCATTTCAGTTCTTTATCGGTAAAGAATATGTTTTGATTATGTAAGTGAATAAATATTCGCATTATTTCAGACACCATTCAGCACATTATAGAGGAGAACGCTCGGCTCCGAGAATTTGTTATGTGTATCTGCTGCAAGGAACGCCATCGTGAGGTCGTGTATATACCATGTGGACACTTTTTGTATTGTTCCATTTGCGACAACTTGAAGTATCACGGCCAGTGTCCAGTTTGCCATACACAAATAAGGGGTTTTCTCTATGTTAACTTATAAATCGTTGTCTTGTATCGTCTCATGTGGTCACGACATGGTTTGGTCTCGTATTGTCACGTGATGTCGCGCGTGATCTCACGTGACCTCGTGCACATGCGTTTCCAGAGTTATTAGGATGTATTGTGATTATATAGTTATGTGACAGTTTTAACACGACGATGATTTGCAGTTTATCTCCGGTATTATTTCAAAGAATAGGGCATCTCTGAAAAAAGATCACTGTGTTTTCTATTCAAAGATATATAAAAGGTATATAAGGTACATGCGTTAACTACTGCAAGAAATAGTACCTTTGTTTTGTTGTAAAGTTTTACGAGTCTACAGAATCGATAAA